GAGTAACAATCAAGACGGAGGATTGCGTTTAAATTATGGTTAACACATGTTAGGGAATCACATTTAGAGTTCACACAAACATATTCACCAAAAATGGTACCACTAAGATACCTCAAAGTTAGTATCGTGTTGGCCTCCATGGGCATCGATGTCGGCGTTGTGTGTCCTGTACATGGAATGAATTAGCCGGTTGTTGAAGGCCATAGGTACTTGGGTCTGTACTCTGCTTAATGCCTGATCGAGTCCAGTGGGACTTGTCGGCCTTGGTTGAAGGTCATTCAGTCTTCTTTGAATCTCGTCTCAAAGGTGTTCTATTGGACTTAAATCCGGACTGAGTGCAGGCCATTGAAGGGATTGGATGCCATGTTGTCATAGGAAGTCCAGTGTTAATCTGGCAGTGTGGGAACGAACGTTGTCTTGCTGGAAGGTGTGATTTCTGTGACGTTCAAAATGTGGTGCAACGTGGGGTCTTATGACTCGGTCAGTATAGCGAGCAGCTGTCACACCATTTCTTCGTCCTGGACCGTGATTCTGGAGCACCACGGGGCCAACTCTCTGGTTCAGATCGATTGCACCCCACACCATGATGTTTGGACCACCCCACGAGTCTCTTTCAACAATACACGCATTGGAAAACCGTTCCCCATGCCTTCGCCATACTCTCACTCTGCCATCTCATCAGAAAAAAAGTACAGTTCTCCATTCTCGATAACGTCAATTTCGATGCTGAATTGCCCATTGCAGTCAGTTTGGGCGGTAACGAGCGGTGAGGACAGGACCACGACATGGTCTGTGACAGCAGAGGTTTCTTTCGCGCAAACGTCGACGCACTGTATCTGCATTAATGGGCTTCTTGTGAGTCCCAGTGGTCTGGCGAGCTGTTTCCGTGGCTCTGGTGAAGCGATCCTGCAGATGATTGCGCACAATCTGTCGGTCTTGACGTTGTGATGTTACTGCAGGTCGTGGACGGTCTGGGATGCTGTTAGTGGTCTGATACCGTCCCTGCAGTCGGCAGATTGTCCTAACATTAACATTAAAACGATTGGCTACCCTCCGAGCAGCCTGGCAAGCTTGCAGTCGTCCCAAGGCTTGATTCCTCTCGTATGTCGTTGTATGGCGTTTCTCAACACAAGAATGATTTCAGGCAAGTTTTGGACTCGCTTTCATTGGTAGGGTTGTCGTGATCTGCTCGTGCATTTTCAATTTCACGAATGTCATACGGGACCTTTTACCACGTCTGTCTTTTAAGGTACGTTTGGTCGATATGCTTTTTCATCAGAAAACATGGTAGTAACTGTCAATTTAGATTGAAAAACATGTTAACAAAACGGTACAATCACAATAAAAACACAACCTTGTAAGAACAACATTTTGCATTTGATTTTGGAAAGTCGCGTTTCTTTTGCGGTTCAGTATATCATTAGTATGTGGGTACGAGGTACCCTGAATGAAATATTTATGTTCTTTTTGTGTTTTTCAAAGTTGCACGTGAAAGGGAAATTTAAACAAGACAGAATCGACTTCCTAATAGAAACTGAAAACTGTATATTCACAGCCACACACCCTTTCATGACCAAATGTTTAGATTAAGAGTCATTATCTAGATGGACCAATGACAAGTGAATTCTGGGCTTTATTACCGGGAAGGATGTTAAGGTCCACAGCGAGGCTTTTATCGCACCCGAATGGAAATATTTTTGATGTTGGCAAATGTGCTTACACTGAACTATCCAGTGCAAACATTAACGGTATTTTGTGGAATCAATTACCATTAGCATGGATGCATTATACTCAATACTTACTGACTGAAACAAATATCATCTGATACCCTGATCAATATCACACTTCAATAACAGACTTATATTGTATCGTCTTGTATAGTTCAAATGTTTTAGATTTAGTTACTGGTTTTATATTTATATCTGTGATAATCTAATTGTTTTACTGTCCTTGGTTGGCAGAATTTTATAATTTACCTTTAATTGTTGATATATTTATAACTTGATTTAGTCACGATATGGCTGAAATATTGCCAATGTGACTTAAAATCTTAACGCACTCATTCACTCACTCAATGACAAACAGGCTGCAATGGTGGGCTATTCAAAACCATGGTCTCGGGTATGGTGATCTACCTTCAGTTGTTGGCAACCAATAGACCATTTCTATATAGTATTGTTCTGTCTAATAATATCGTTTTATGATTTCATGCTAGTTTTACTTAAATATATGTGATATATTAGTAGTTTTACTTTTCTTCGCCAACAGACTATTAATTTCTATAATATAATAATTAATTGTTCTATGGCTGAAATATTGCCGATGTGACGTTAAATATTAACTCACTCATTTACTCAAAAATATAATGTAGCACCTTGTACCATGACTATGATTTTCCTTTTTAACATTTAAAAAAAATAATTTTCACATGTAACTTGCTCAGTAAAGTAAAGAGTGTTGTACGGTTAGGTGCCTTACTCTGAGAGTGTGGGTTCGAATCCCGGGTCGGACTCAACCCGAAAAGTTGAGAATATGTATTTTTACCAAGAAAGTGTAATGACAGATTAATATGTTACCACTAACCGCTTTCTAAATGGCAGAGTGTATTCATAAGTTTGATATGCATTTTTGTTACAGTGAGTGAGTGAGATAAAGTTTTTAGTCACACATTTTGTTACAAATACTATAGATTGTTATGAAACATGGTGCTTAAAAATACCAGCTGCAACATGAAAGGGTTTGGATGAAAATACCGTGCTGTGGGTAATGAAATAGTTGAAACTTTTATTGTCTAAATACACCAGCATCTTCGGTAGCCTGGCCGCGTCCACACGATCTGTCTAGTCCGTATATCCAATACAAATGCATAAGGATGCCATGCTTTTTAGAAAATGAGCGTAAAATAGCTATTGCAATGATGGCACTGAACGTTCAGTCTGGAACACTGGTCACAAGATAACCATGTAAAAGACAGACCCTGATATCCAAGAAGATCCAGGTTAGAATTGGTCTTCAATTACCCATGCTTGTCGTAAAACGCGACTAACGGGTTGGGTGGTTAGGCTCGCTGACTTGATTGACACAAGTCAACGTATCCCAATTTCGTAGATCGATGCTCATGATGCTGGTCACTGGATTGTCTGGCCCTGACTATATAACCTAGCAACGTCAGAGGAAAATCAGTCTTGATATCGATTGTCTTCCCGGACAGATTCCTTAGGTGTAAAACGGCCAAATGGAGTCAAATGGAAAACAGTGATAAAAGTAGGTGTTTCATAAATAAACACCAGGTGTTCCCCTGTTTGCACATGCCATGGACATAATTTGCTTCAACCAGAATGCATGTGTTGTTCCTGCCATAAGACAGAGTCCTGGAAACGTCGGGGCTGTGGTGGATTCGTCGTTATCTGTTCTGTTGTGAGATTCAGTTTCAATAATGACAATAATCTGGTCGATGTGTTCATGTTTTGGTAACCGTCATCTATATGTTAGGCAGGGTGTGGATACATGTCTCGCTTATATTATGTTTGATAATGTAATTGGTGACGAATATTGAATATACCGAGGTATTTAATAGCTGGAAACAATGGGCACAATTACCCAGCACACCTGGGTGAAGTTAATGTTGAGATTTTATCCTGAAAGTATCTAATCATCGCTCGCTGTTTTACAAACACAGCTAAATGTATAAAACAGCCTGTGCCCTGCAACCTTTACAGAAAATATTTGTATGGATGTATGGAAAACTTTCAGTAAACCATTTAAAAGCAACTCATTTACCTTTGGGTAATTACCAATTCCAAGTGCGTTGTAAACAACAATACTGTCTATACCATTGGTATTTAATGCAGAATGGAAAATCGATAGACCAAGGCCGTTCTGGCAATTATCACTGCAGCAGACAATGTAAACATATAAATAGTTATGAAGTTTGTAGAATATTAACATCAATACCATATAGGGACAATTATCCAGTTAGAACTATTTACAGACTAAAGGGCGGTAGATCCCAAGCTATGTGCCATGAATATTTCTCAGCAATACAGGCAGTGATACAAGCTAAATGCATTATCACCTATGTGCATCCTTCAGTAATGTGTTTGAATCAGTATTAATCGATGTTAATATCTACCTGATAGTAGAGCTGTGGACTTCAGCTGATCTGAATTTTGATGGTTGTCAGTGACTTTGTTTTCACGTATTACTTTTGACCTTGCAACACAAGTGTTCGCCATGTTGGTGAGGTAGCACAGTGATGATGAACTGCGCAGGAACTTGTGATTGTGCTGAAGTCGACGTAATTCTACTGTGACGTAATTCTACTGTGACGAAGTGTGGAAGTACAACATACAGAGACATGATGTTGACGCCCACACAATGTTCATGTTGTCTGAGATGAGATGAAATGTATTTTGAAGTTTATTGTACAAGGTACTTTTGAAATAGCATAATGGAGCTCCATATTGCCTCTATGTTTGAACTCCCACAGCGGAGTTCCTATTTGTTCTGAAGGAAGTTTTTGTAATGTAATGTGGAGGTCGACACTGAACGTCTTACTTTATGCTGAAGTCATATTCATGTGACTAAGTGTTGATGCACGGCTTTCAAATGGTAAAACATACAAGTATTGTATTGTGTTTATGACTTCATCGTGAAGTACTGTTGAAGTTGAAGCTCCGACCTAATGTTTAGCCATTGTAAAGTCGATTCTTCTATTTGTACGTTGAAGTTTTGAAGGCAGCCTCTGTAGAATCGCCATGCACATGGCAACAATACAGCTAGCAGGTATTTTACTTCTTGCTGCCTGCTGGCCTAACTTCGCTCTTTCGTCCTACGAGAATAGATACTTTATTTCTAATCTAACCAAGCATTATGATCCAAGGGTGCGGCCAGTCATCAAACGATCTGAAGTGACCAATATATATGTGACTTTAGGCTTAGTATCCATAATCACGCTTGAAGAAAAGGATGAAATTTTAAGCACAAAAATGTGGTTAACAATGGCATGGCATGATCGTTTCTTAAAATGGAACAAAACTGGAGACAGTCCAGAAACTCTGTTGCTCCGGATCAGTGATATTTGGTCGCCAACGATTATTTTCCTCAACACCGTGTCGGATGTGAAATACACGAAAGATGAAGAGGACAAGGCCATCGTGTACAACACTGGACTTGTTGTGTACGTGCACAATGGTCGACTGGATACTCGCTGTAAGGTTAACATCCAACAGTTCCCCTTTGATCAGCAGGTATGTTTCATATCCATGTCTCCCATGGTCACCGCACTCAGCGGGGAAGATGTCACTGTGCAAAATCCAAATGTTGATCTGGAATCGTTCGAGGAGAATGGAGAGTGGGAGTTAGTAGAAGCGACATTTGCTCCGAAAAATATCAGTTCCAGGGGAGCAAATGTTACCACTGCCATTGCTGCCTTAACACTTAAGAGACGAACCACCTTCTACATCCTCAACAATATCCTGCCTGTCGTGTTCCTGTCCTTTCTTAACACCTTCGTCTTCCTATTGCCCGAGGACAGTGGTGAGAAGATATCCCTGTGTGTCTCCATCCTGTTGTCCTATGCCATGTTCCTGACCCTCATCAGTTCCTACCTACCAGCGAACTCCGACCACCTGTGTTTCTTCAGTGTCTACGTCACCCTGCTTGTGTTGATCAGCACACTCACATGTCTCGTCACAATCTTCATGTTGGTACTTCACACTCACCTGCAGAAAGGGAAGGACGTTCCAAGGTGGCTGCGTGGTCTTAATGAGACAAGGGGCAAAGTGGAACCGGCTGAACAAGAACCAAAGAATGGCACCAATGAAATGTCAGCCCAAACAGGAGACGTCGACATAGTGCGAAAGCTGAACTTGATTTCATTTGTAACATTCTTTTCCCTAACAGGTATTACAAATATGTTATATTTCTTAGGTGCAAATACATAAACCAACAAACTTTGCACGCTAGTTTTAACTCTTATTGTGATATTCTAGTTGTTTTACTGTCCTTTGACGACAGGTGTATATAATAGCACATGTTTCATTTCAATGTCAAATATGGTCACGATGTGGCTGAAATATTGCCGATGTGACGTTAAATCTTAACTCACTCACTCACTCATAAATCAACATCTGAGTGTGTGCCTTGGTGAAATTATTCATTATATGTATTCATTTCTGAGCTGTTTCAAGGGTGGATATCTGGTTCATATACAAAGTTTTAGATTAAACTTTAGTTGGAACACTCCGATATTATGGCTGATCATTTCCAACATCGATTCGATCTCGGGTTTTCACATTTCCAACCAAAATCGAGGAGGACTGTTAAAGCTAACTTATGAATGTAAGGAATTCCAGTAATAGTATAAATAACATTGGAATGCCAATTCAGTAATCGCGATATGAATCGAAATCGATGACAGCTGACATGAAAACGACAACATGCAGCATGCAGACTGAACTGAGCAACACTCATTAGTTGAGACAGAAAGACCAGGGGAATCTGCCTGCATACTCTAGGCATAAACAACGGGGAGAGTTCTTGGGATATTCAACTTCTGTATTATTAACATGGGCGACGTTTCGGTGTAGCTACTATTTGCTTGATAACGGTGGAAATAGCTTCACTGAAATGTCGCTCATATTGAGTGAGTGAGTGAGTTTGGTTTTACGCCGCTTTTAGCAATATTCCAGCAATATCACGGCAATATCATTGTACCCATGTGGTCGCTCATATTGATAACAAAGAAATTGCATGTCCATAGAACTCTCCCCGTTGTTTATCACACCAACTTCTGGATGCCACTAAAAGAGGTTTCTCTAGGCTTAAATACCAACAACGGGGTTTGCTGTTTGAAAACATTGTGCGTGATGACCTTGTTATATGTGTGTATAATGTAAGAGAATTTCAAATAATACCGATGTATTCAGTTTTTTCGAATATGCAAACTGTAAGGAGACAAGCAAATACAATTCACAGTGCACCACTTCCCATGCCCATTGATGAAATATACTAAAAAAATAGAAACTGGACACCCACGTAATTAGTAATAATTGTGAGGGGGTAATTCTATTTAGTTTCGTGTGCAATACACGCGGCAATGACATGTGGTGTTGTGCCTGCCGTGCCTTCCCTGCCGTGCCTACCTTGCCGTACCTACCTTGCTGTGCCTACCTTGCCGTGCCTTCTTTGCCGTGCCTACCCTGCCGTACCTACAATACCGGGTCTACTTTGCAGTGCCTACCTTGCCGTGCCTACCATGCCGTACCTACCCTGCCGTACCTACCGTACCGTACCTACCCTGCCGTACCTACCCTACCGGGTCTACCTTGCCGCTCCAACCTTGCCGTGCCTACCCTGCCGTACCTACCCTGCCGTACCTACCTTGCTGTGCCTACCTTGCCGTGCCTTCTTTGCCGTGCCTACCCTGCCGTACCTACAATACCGGGTCTACTTTGCAGTGCCTACCTTGCCGTGCCTACCATGCCGTACCTACCCTGCCGTACCTACCGTACCGTACCTACCTACCCTGCCGTACCTACCCTACCGGGTCTACCTTGCCGCTCCAACCTTGCCGTGCCTACCCTGCCGTACCTACCCTGCCGTACCTACCTTGCTGTACCTACCGTACCTGTCCTACCGTATCTACCCTGCTGTACCTACCCTGCCGTACCTACCCTACCGTACCTGCCCTACCGGGTCTACTTTGCTGTACCTACCCTGCCGTACCTACCCTGCCGTGCCTACCCTACCGTACCTACCCTACCGTACCTGCCCTACCGGGTCTACTTTGCTGTACCTATCCTGCCGTACCTACCCTACCCTGCCTACCCTGCTGTACCTACCCTGCCGTGCCTACCCTACCGTACTTAACCTGCCGTGCCTACCATGCTGTGCCTACCTTGCCGTGCCTACCTTGCCGTACCTACCGTACCTACCCAACCGTACTTCCTACCCTACCCTTCCTACACTTTGTACCTACCTTTGCCGTACCTACCCTGCCGTACCTACAATACCGGGTCCTACACTTTGCAGTGCCTAATTTGCTGCGCCTACCTTGCCGTACCTACCCTGCCGTACCTTCCCTGCATTACCTTCTCTGCCGTACCTACCCTGTCGTGTTTACCCTACTGGACCCAACCTGCCGTACCTATCCCTGTCGTACCCACCCTACCGTACCCACCCTGCCGTACCTACCCTCCTCCTGTACCTACCCTGTCGTATATACCCTTCCGTACCTAGCCTGCAGTACATACCCTAACGTGTCTACCTTGTCGTACCTATCCTGCCATGCCTACCCATCCGAGCCTACCCTGCCGTACCTACCCGGACATACCTATCCCTCCGTGCCTACCCTGCCATACCTACCCCTCCGTGCCTACCCTGCCATACCTACCCCTCCGTGCCTACCTGCCGTACCTACCCTACTTTACCTACCCTGCCATACCAACCCCTCCGTGCCTACGCTGCCGTACCTACCCTGCCATACCTACCCCTCTGTGCCTATCCTCACTGTACCTACCCTGCCGTGCCTACCTTGCCGTGCCTACCCTGCCGTGTCTACCCTCCTGTACCTATCCTGCCGTACCTACCCTTCCGTACCTACCTTGCCGTACCTTGCCTAACGTGTCTACCTTGTCGTACCTACCCTACCGTGCCTACCTTGCTGTAACTACCCTACCGTATCTACCTTGCCGTACCTACCTTGCCGTACCTACCCTGCCGTGCCTACCCTACCGTGCCTACCCTGCCGTACCTAGCCTGCTGTACCTACCGTGCCATACCTACCCTACCGTACCTAGCCTGCCGTACCTAGCCTGCCATTACCTACCCTACCGTGCCTACCATGCCGTCCGTACTTGGCCTTACCTACCTTTGCCACTGCCGCAGAGGCACCCGAGACAAGAATCACACGTGTTGAAGGATAAAACTCAGAAAGGTATAAGTTATGGTACATTTATTGACATGAAAACACATAGAATCCAGGAAAAGGCCAATTATATATACATATTATTGCTTGCCTCTCATCAATATTACAGATGTATGACGACGGTCGAGTATGACCCAGTATGGTTCCTGCCAATCCGGTGATTTACATTACATATGATTATGTAAAAAAGACCATGTCCATTATTTGTAAACTATTTTGTGAAAGATCAAACAAGAATCGAGGATCGCTGGTTGACATCTTCCCACCATTTATCCTTTCCGCCGGACATTCCGTGGTGTGGTCCTGGATACAGGTGTTGCACCCGGACCCTTTCTGTCGCCAGGTGTGCGTCGTGTAGCGTTGTTTGTCCGTAGGACACGTGTCATCTTTATGGTACGAGTGCCCTGGGAACTTCCTCCTCTACGTCCACCACTACTAGCGCGTGTATTGCCTATGCTGTTTTTGTTGCTGTTCGTGTTGTGAACACCGTTCACGCTGTCACCATCACTGTCGTTTCTGCTGTTCACGTCGCCGACATCACTGTCGTTTCTGTTGTTCACGTTGTCGACATCACTTTCGAATCTGCTGTTCGCGTTGTCGATATCGGTGCTGTTGTTGTCGCTGTTGTTGCTGATGCCACTTATACCTTCACCGTTGTATATGCTGTCGCCGTGTCCGTCGGTGTCTTCAATGACGCTTCGGTTGCTGCTAGGCGCCCTAGTTGGGCTGGATCTCAGGTTGTAAAACCCCTGCCACCAGGTAGCCTGGCGTTTGGTTATGGACGCCGCCTCTACACCAGGGGGCTGCAGCACAGCCGCTGTAAACAATGAAACTGAATTAAGTACACGTGTAATGAAAGCAAATCAATTATATAAATATATATACGATACACATAATAATGGCTTTGTAGTGAAATGACGAGCTTCATAGAGCATTCCCGTCCATGTGCTTAAAGCGGCACTCCAACATTTATCATGTCAACGTGGAACACGTCTGTTGGTTTTGTGAGAATCCTTAAATGGTATAAATGAGCGTATTCAAAAGAATGTAGGCACGTTCGTATACGCTGAAAGCAGCTTTAACCAATCACGTGATGGTCGAACCAAGTGGCAAGAGCGTGTTCGTTTGTCAAACATGAAACACTTCAGTGAGTGAGTGAGTGCGTTTGGATCAATGTTTGTTTCGGCGTGTCAACTTGATGTTCAGGAAAACCCCAAGAATGACTGACTGACTGAGTTTGGTTTTACGCCGCTTTAAGCAATATTCCAGCAACATCACGGCGGGGGACACCAGAAATGGGCTTCACACATTGTACCCATGTGGGGATTCGAACCCGGGTCTTCGGCGTGACGAGCCAACGCTTTAACCACTAGGCTACCCCGAGAATGACACTCCATCAGCAGGGTATGGTGGGGACAACCTCGAGATACTAAAAGGGAGAATACCGGATTCGAAACAACACTTATAGATTTTTGGTAAGCTTCACGGCGAATTTTGGACATCCGCAGACCGTTGCACTCTCATTTTGTTTGACCGCCATGACAGTTAATATTTAAACAGTAACTCCTTAATATTATCTCATTGTCAGAGGACGATGCCCAAAATATGAAAACACTTCTGTTGTAGATTGTTGTGAGAGCTTAAACCCGGACATGTTGTCAAAGGCATAATTTACAGGATCGTGGTCATCTCACCAAATAGTGGCCATATTACCGAATAATGGCCATCTCACCGAATAGTGGTCATCTGACCGAACAGTGGCCATATTACCATATAGTGGCCATCTGACCGAATAGTGGCCATCTCACCGAATAGTGGCCATCTCACCAAATAGTGGCCATATTATCATATAGTGGCCAACTCACGGAATAGTGGCCATCTCACGGAATAGTGGACATATTACCATATAGTGGCCATCTCACGGAATAGTGGCCATATTACCATCTAGTGGCCATCTCACGGAATAAAGGCCATATTACCATATAGTGGCCATCTCACGGAAAAGTGGCCATATTACCATATAGTGGCCATCTCACCGAATAGTGGCCATATTTCCATATAGTGGCCATCTCACCGAATAGTGGCCATATTTCCATCTAGTGGCCATCTCACGGAATAAAGGCCATATTACCATATAGTGGCCATCTCACGGAATAGTGGCCATATTACCATATAGTGGCCATCTCACGGAATAGTTGCCATATTACAATCTAGTGGCCATCTCACGGAATAGTGGCCATATTACCATCTAGTGGCCATCTCACGGAATAGTGGCCATATTTCCATATAGTGGCCATCTCACGGAATAGTGGCCATCTCACGGAATAGTGGCCATCTCACGGAAAAGTGGCCATATTACCATCTAGTGGCCATCTCACGGAATAGTGGCCATATTACCATATAGTGGCCATCTCACGGAAAAGTGGCCATATTACCATATAGTGGCCATCTCACGGAATAGTGGCCATATTACCATATAGTGGCCATCTCACCGAATAGTGGCCATATTTCCATCTAGTGGCCATCTCACGGAATAAAGGCCATATTACCATATAGTGGCCATCTAACGGAATAGTGGCCATATTACCATATAGTGGCCATCTCACGGAATAGTGGCCATATTACAATCTAGTGGCCATCTCACGGAATAGTGGCCATATTACCATATAGTGGCCATCTCACGGAATAGTGGCCATATTTCCATATAGTGGCCATCTCACGGAATAGTGACCATATTTCCATCTAGTGGCCATCTCACGGAATAGTGGCCATATTACCATATAGTGGCCATCTCACGGAATAGTGGCCATCTCACGGAAAAGTGGCTATATTACCATATAGTGGCCATCCCACGGAATAGTGGCCATATTACCATCTAGTGGCCATCTCACGGAATAGTGGCCATATTACCATCTAGTGGCCATCCCACGGAATAGTGGCCATATTACCATCTAGTGGCCATCTCACCGAATAGTGGCCATATTACCATATAGTGGCCATCTCACGGAATAGTGGCCATATTACCATATAGTGGCCATCTCACCGAATAGTGGCCATATTACCATATAGTGCCCATCTCACGGAATAGTGGTCATATTACCATATAGTGGCCATCTCACCGAATAGTGGCCATATTACCATATAGTGCCCATCTCACGGAATAGTGGCCATATTACCATATAGTGGCCATCTCACGGAATAGTGGCCATATTACCATATAGTGGCCATCTCACGGAAAAGTGGCCATATTACCATCTAGTGGCCATCTCACCGAATAGTGGCCATATTACCATATAGTGGCCATCTCACGGAAAAGTGGCCATATTACCATATAGTGGCCATCTCACCAAATAGTGGCCATATTACCATATAGTGGCCATCTCACCAAATAGTGGCCATATTACCATATAGTGGCCATCTCACCTAATAGTGGCCATATTACCATATAGTGGCCATCTCACCGAATAGTGGCCATCTCACGGAATAGTAGCCATATTACCATATAGTGGCCATATTACCATATAGTGGCCATCTCACCGAATAGTGGCCATATTACCCGAGAATGGCCATATCACTGGATGGAGGCACGCTGTCTGACTCTACGATCTTCCATGGCCCTTACCTATGTTACCAGACCTTGTTACCAGACCATGTGACGGGTCATTATGCCAAACCAAGTGACCAGACCACGTGATCAGACCAATTTGCCACTCAAGTTACCAGACAGTATCAGCAGACCATGTTACTGGACTCTGTTACCAGACATTAACCAGATTGTGCCGCGGGTCATTATGCCAAACCAAGTTACCAGACCTTGTCGCCAGTCAAGTTAAAATATTATGTTACCAGGCCAACCCTGCTACCAGATTATATTCCAGAACCATGTTGCCAGACTTTGTCACCAGACAAGTTGCCGTTATGCAGACCCTGTTGCCACATTATGTTATCAGTTCAGGTTACCAGTCCACGTTGCCAGACCATTTTACTAGGACTGATGCAGAATGTGTTACCAGACCTGGTCTGTTACAGACCATGCCAAAAGACCGTGTTACAGAAAAAGCTACCAGGAAATGTTACCGGATCAATTCGCAACACTATGACTCAACTATATTCAACAATGAAAAGTAATTTTAAATTTGAAAGCATTTACTTTATTTATGAAGGAATGAAATATTTCATTGGTAATGTTATAATAATAATAATAATAATAATAATAATGTAAATGTGATGAAATATCCACTTACCCCCAAACACAATTAATCCATAATACAGCCACATAGTTGCCCCGTCGATCATCAAACCCACTGGGGTGAAATCACTTCACTTTTATATGATTGTTCTCACAGCCTTGTAATGAGTGACACCCATATCGCTCCATTACTTCATTGAAGTCTGAATTTAAAATGTGTAACGTTACCTAATGGCTATACTACGAGACGAATGCATATTTATTTAGCTTACAATACCAAACTAACGTCAATGGTCACCGCGTGTAATCCATCAGTTCCCATTAAGCTCGATGGGCGGTAGTCTGTCTGGGTCCTTGAACATCACGAAGTGTACGAGGATTCATGTCAACAATTTTCAGACATATGCACATATTTTTTTTTAAAATACGTCTGTTATTTAAAAAAGTAATACTACACGTCGTATTTATTCTAATTTTTTTACGAATAAAATAGCATTCTGTTACCATCTTCAAATAGAATGTACTTATAAGGGATGGTTCAAAAGATATCTGCATATTGTCCTGTCTTTCTGTCAGTATATGTATTACTTGTGGGGGGTTGGGGTGGATGTTGGTGGTGGGGGGTCCCTAGTCATGAATCTGTGATTCTTAATTAGAACTAAGTGCCCGAAGTGGATAGGCTTGTGTTGATTTTGAGGGTACGGCATGCTTGGGTTGCGGTAAACGGGATGAAGGCGATGAGTTTAACAAACATTAGATGCACGAACTGTTGTTTGATTTACCTAACTCAGCTCTCAGTATGCATAGCCGCTTTTCAGCAATGTCATGCGTTGCGTGTAATCTATTTCATTTCCTTCAAGAATGTCTGTCTGGTATATTTTGTGATTTATCTGGCAGTGCCGTTCATACATGTATGTGCTTTTTTGGTCACTCAGGCATGGAATCCAACGATTCTGTATTTTATTCCATATATTCTATATCAGGTATGCATGCAACCCTTGTCGGCTGGTCGTGTGTGTGTGTGTGTGTGCGTGCGTGCGTGCGTGCGTGCGTGCGTGCGTGCGTGCGTGCGTGCGTGCGTGCGTGCGTGCGTGCATGCGTGCATGCGTGTGTGTGTTAGAGTTCGCTCGCCACGCTAACCCCTAAGGTTTGATTCGCTTGGCGGTTTATCCAAGTCACTGACTTTCCTTGTCGTGACTCCATTGTGTATTTGCCGATATGTAGTTCTACTACTGCCAGCGTTCAATGGTTCAATGCTGGGGTTTGCTGGGTTTTGAGCTGCTTCCGTAGCAACCATCACCTGACCAAGTGTAGTCACACGATAATGTTACTGCAACTGTCAGTTTCTCACCGATAGTCATTGCTCATTTTAGTACACGCATGTTTATGCTCAACAAAATTAGAAACGTGACACCCCCATTATTGATAATAATTGTGATGTTATGTCATTTCCTTTTAGTTCGGGTTCGAATCCTGGATATTCACTCAGTAAACAATGTTTCAAAGTTTGACGTATGGGCTTTCATGTAAGTAGAAGTGAAGTAGTTAACTCCAGTAGGATGTAGCAAAAAAAACCCATTTCTGCCCGGTTTCTTAAGTTACTAACAATGCCTCCATATATATAGCGCCAAACTCCACACCAGGTATGCTCATAGCGCTAAGTTGTGTCATGAAGTCTTTGGTCTTGAGCAACTATATGAAGAACTTTTATGCCGTGTTTCATAAACTGCCAAAAATAAAATATTAAAATACTGACATTATCCATAATTCTGTAATTGTGGTCTGTTCCATAATCTTGTCTTAAATGTTCAAGATACCGTGGCATTACAGGACTTCTCTAAGGCCGTTATCAAGACACAAGAAAAGTCATTATGACTGTACTTTTCGGCGTTTATTACAGGCATATAATCGTAAGATTGAAAACAATATCATAGGAACAAATATGTTATTGAAATTACCAAATTGATCAGATTTAGACATTTCAGACATTTATTAGTAATTATATCAAATTAAACTCTTCAGTCATCATGTCAATGGCTTCATTATGTTTAGGCAGTGGCAAGGCTAGAAGTGGCATCACACAGAGACATTTAAACTAATGGATGAAATCTTTTGAAACAAAAGGGTTATAGCTTGCTTCAGTATAATCATTCTTCAAGAATAACTATTTCCTTGTCACCACGTCACCTTTAGGGGCTGAAGAAGGTTTACCGACAAGCCACTTAATTTCAAGACATGATTTTTGCCATCATAGTGTGGAATAACAGCAACATTGTTCACCATGACTTGTTGTGGCATTTTGCCGACTCCAAAGATTGTGATTCCATCCAGTTGCATTTCCGAACCCACGTCATAGTTGTCAACAAAAACTATACTCTCGAGAATCTTCCCTGCCATAGAGAAAGACACCCGACTGTATTTCTCCTTCTCAACAGAATCTAAAGATTTGCCATCGTCCCAGTACACTTCCCCTTCGGCAGAACCGTCATCAGCTAATGCAACTAAAAGTGAGAAGCTCTGATTCCGGAGAGCTGCAGTCGTCAGGGAAGCTGGTTTGGTAGGTAGGACTGACCCTCCTCGAACGTGCAGGTTGATCTTTGACAAGGGGGCATCGAGACGAACACTTTCACCAACGGTAGAGAGTCGAGAACCATTGTAGAAGTCGTACCAAACATCAGATGGGAAATAAGCTGACACAGACGTAGCCCCTTCTTCCAGGACGGGGGATATGAGGAGGGAGGTCCCCCACAGGAACTGTTTGTCGACTTCTGAAGCTTCTCCTGGGTACTGGAAAAACAAAGGCCTGACAACAGGCGTCCCCTGAATGTGGTTCCTGAAGAACAGACTGTAAAGATAGGGCAGAAGGTGGTACCTTGTCTGAAGAACTGACCTCATGTAACCCTGTGTCACTGGATCAAACGATCCTGGATCTTGGTCATTCTGTCCTAATGCATCGTGGTTCCTCATGAAGGGGTAAAACGCTCCTACCTGCATCCATCGGGTGCACAGCTCTGGTGTTGTACCTCCACCGAAACCACAAATATCAGCTCCAACAAACGGAATACCGAACATCTGAAAGTTGATAATACCAGGAATGGAATAATATAAGTCCGGCCACCCTGATGTGTTATCGCCAAGCCAGTGTCCTCCATATCGTCCAGAGCTTGGAAAGGTGGAGCGAGATATCACTATGTTCCTCTCAGACTTCAACTGATGTAGGACACCCATCGATGCTCTTGCTTCACTGAATCCGTACAGGCTGTGCACATTGTAATGTGATGAGACATACTGTTGTGCCGAAGGACAGAGTGTTCTGGAAAACAGTGAAGATCCGTCTATAACCGGTGGAATGAAAGGAGGATGGTCCAGGGAGTTATTCGTACATCCTGATATTGACCCGTCCGCAAAGTTGGATGGTTCATTCATGTCTGTCCAAAGACCATCAAATGGCACAACATCGTAATATAGCTTGGCCTGTCTGTACCACCAGTCTGTTGTATTTGGGTTTAAGAAATCAGGGAACACGGTTTGTCCAGGCCATACTTTACCCTGCAAAATGCTTCCATTGTGTGCTTTAATGAAGATGTCATCCTTCACGCCTTCATCATAGGGAGGGTAAGTGCCAGGTGTCTGAACACTGCTAATACCAGGGTCTACTATAATGACATACTTTTGGTCATGCTGATGCAAGTCCTCGACTATGGTTGGCAATCCTGCATAAGATTTATTGTCATATGTCCAATCGAGATGAGAAGCCATGTAGTCTATATCATTCCATTGCACATCATAAGGAATATTTGCTGCTCGGTTCCTGTCAATGACCTTTTTCACTTCAGTTGAAGACAAGTAGCCCCACTTACACAAATGGAACCCGAAAGACCAAAATGGAGGAAAGAAGGGTTTTCCGATAAGGCTGACGTACTGCTGAACAACGGCATCAGGAGTCGGTCCAAGGAAGACATAGAAATCAAGGATGCCTCCTATACTTCTATAGGTGAGAGCAGAGGATCCGTAAGAGGGTTGAAGGTCGACCTCCATGGCGTTGCTGTTTAATAGGAAGACACCATGAGCATTATTCTTTCCATCCAGGTTCATGAAGAATGGATGGGAACCATAGAGGTTCTCGTCCAGGATCGGCGGTTGATCCCGAGCCCAAAAGGTGATCTTTGTCCAATCTGTGTCCAGTTTGAGACTTGACCGATGTTCACCTAACCCGTAGACATTGCTAGTAGCCAGCTGGGTTCCGATTTGGATATACTGATCAGCAAATATTAGAGGAGATACTCCTGAAGAGTCGAACATGATATCCCCTGTCGAGGTCCTTCTAATAGTGATTGCAAACTGTTCAACTGATAAACTGACCTGATAGTCCGGGTTGCTGGCCATCTCTTTCCCTTTTTGGAGATCGATAGGAACTTCATACCTTTTATTGTTGGGGTCAAATATTTTGAAGCGGAGTCGTTCATTGGTCTCATACGTGACCTCCAGTTTCAGCTCCATCACATCGCCCGGGTAGGGGGACTGTGTGGACCTTTGGAGCACAGCTTCCATTCCGTGGGTGAACTCCTGAAAGGATGCGACTCGGTAGGAGTTGTTGAAAATCCGAGGATAAAAGCATGTTGGTACTCCTTGACCAACATTCGTATCCCAGCAACACCCTCGAGCTTCACATGTCTGCTGGACAGCGCCTTTTCCCTCCGGCCAACAGTCGAAGCGATCCGAGTCGAATGTGACGTCACACTGAGGGGCACCCACATGCAGGTTAGGAACAGTGGTGTTCTGACTCGACGACTTCGATCCACAGTGGAAATAGCTCAGGAAGTTTTGAAACTGTGTCGGGTTTATGATGGAGAATGTTCCAAGAGCAAACAAGGAAAAGGTCAGCGTAAGAAGGACGACATCCATTGCGAGTCCCCATGACGTCAATCTCAGTCTCCTTCGGGGTTTGGGAAGAAAAACGAGCATCTCTTCCTCTTTCCGTCCCATTTCAGTATATATCTGAGTACTGAAGTGAGCAACAACAATGTGATACAGGCAGGACAGTAGTCTAGTTGCAGTAATATATTATCACACGAGCGTTATCTGTCAGGTGATTACTGATATGAAAGTCGCTTTATCATCAGCGGAAAGCCTTGACAGTGTCCTACAATACACTGTATTCACTAACAGTGAAACACCGTTGTGTCTAAGTTGAAAAGACCTATGTAAATAATTCGAGTTGTCTAATGTTCGACGGAGCTGCAAAAGTATTACTCATATAGGAATATGGAGGGGCCCAGCTTTAACTTCGCGACAACAGTGTGACTAACTAACTCACTCACTCGAAACAACGGAGTTTGAGTGTATAGGTTATGCATAGATACTATTGGGTGTATACAATAAGAAGTATGACACTGGGTACCCTGCAGCTGGTGATACACGTTGGTATCTACTTGGTTAGTGTTGTGTCTGCCGGTATAGTTTGGTCTCGAGTTCCATCATGACATTCATGCTTTCCATTCCATTTTCAGCTCCAAGGGGTTTAATAATCTCAGACAACCGGATTGATACCGCTGTTGATTGACCAGAAAAACTATGCATTATCATTGTCTCAAATAGCCTGTACTTAACAATCTAATAAGATATTTCCTTAATTATTTACCAGCCGTTAATGCTTCATGGTCTTGTAGACAGTAAATTCCTCTTGTATAGGAATTATTATATGGATGAGTGAGTGAGAGAGAGTTTACTCCGTTTTTAGCAAAATACCAACAATATCATGAAAGTATACACCAGAAATGCACTTCACACCTTGTAATAATTGGGGTTTTCGAACCTGGACCTCCGGCGGGACAAGTAAACGCTTTAACCACGTGCCTACTTTACCATTCACGTTGGCTTATTTCACCATTGTTAAGCGACTTGAATGGCTTGTTGAATATATGTGTACTTTTACAAAATGTCTTCCGTGAAGACCCGACTCTGGAGACCAATTGTTTGACATAGGTAACTGGATAAAATTGGGTTGTCAGTCTCGACGTTTTGGTTTTTATGGTATAAAACGGTAAATTGCTAATTATATTAACCCCCAGTTTGTCCTCCCCAGATGAAGCTATTTACAACCGCCGAAATACCGGAAATAGTGCTTGGTATCATAAAAAGAAACAAACAAAACGGACAAAGGTGCGCACATGTAATAAAACATGTGGCTGCTGGTACAGAAATGATTGGAATAATCAGGTGGAAAAAAAATATGTTTTTAAACTTCGCTTTTACATTTGAAAAACACACTTTGCTTTAGCTAAGCTTTAATGGAGGCACGCGTAACATTGTTTTCCTGATAGGTACATCATTTCAGTTACCACAGTACAACAAGTAACGTTAGCGCAGCCGTTATATACGCAGTTCAATAACAAGAGTCGTCCTTCTCTATCTCGCCATCTGATATACCCTGGTCCCAGATTCATCTGCCTGTCAGAAATAGGCCAAGTCAGAGGAACCTCTACCTGCGCATCACCACGCCGTATCTCCGCTATCACGCTTTGAACCTTAGACACGTTTGGTCTCATTGATTTTCGTATTACAAAAAGACGTTGTCGCTTCTATAAAACCTCACAAGACAATCTTTAGACAACGTGCATCCAGTCCTCTAATATCTAATACTTTCACGCCCATGAAGGGTCGTATCATATCCTTAGTTAATCCCTCCATACTCACGAGGGGGTAATACATTATTGTAATCCATCTCCCATTGGCCCATATTGTTGTATATCACCAAGATGTGGATCGCCGTAAACTTTCAGTCCAGTATAAGTCCATACTGCTGTAAATATACTATCAATAAAAAGAAACGCATAGGCGTCGCCATTGCGCTCAACGTCTCCGTTATCTAAAATTATCCACTTGGTTACATAGACATTTCCATTTTCTAGACTGATGTTCAAATTCATGCACTCAACTCTATTTGTGGACGAGTTATGCATGTTTGAAAATACAACATTTTCGCAACGCATTTCTGGCCTATGCGTTTCTTTTTTTGATGGTATATATACTCTTTTAAAAAGTAGGGGAACTTCATGTTTAATTTACGATTGAAACAATTGGGAGATATATCGGAAAAAAAATGTTGATATGATAATAATGAATGTTTTGAGAGTGCATCACCACTTGACTTCCTTATGACCTTAGTTGTTTGTACAGTAATCGCTCTTGATAGATGATTGGTGTATGACGTGAAATTTGCATCTATACGATTTTCATTTTCAAACAAAAAGAAACGGCTAGAAACAAACACTAACAACTGTGATGCAAGATGATTGTCAAAATTTATGGTCTACAGCGGTTTATCGACCTTCTTGAAAACCGTCAAAATCAAGTATGTCACCCATGCACGTGCATGGGGCTACTGCGTTGTGCATGTGCATCCCATGTGTTGTGTTTGGGGGTGGTGATAAAGAGAAATGGTGGTGCGTTCATAAGATGTTTGTCTCTGAAAAGTTTGTTAACGCTTATACTTCCTATCTAAATTGAAAGTTTAGGTTCCCCTTCTTTGTTTAAGATTATATAAAAATCGCGAAACATTTATGGTAGGACACCAGCCTTGTGCTAGTCACATTATGTGCCAGGATAGTCACACCGACTCCAAACAAACGAAATGTCTACATCGACTAGGGTAAGAGTGATCTCCCTTTGATAAAAGGCAGTTACTCTTGTGGGATGTATATTATGATGACGAGAATGTGCAGAGTGAACTTTAGCACCAGATACAGTGCCCTTATGGGCCACATGGGCACTGTATCCGGTATCAAAATGAACCATGCTAAGCGGCTATCCGGCTTTTGTGCTCATCACTTCAAAGCCTCGTTGCACGTGTTTATGCAATCAGTCAAAAATAACATTATGCTGTCAACAGTACTCCACGAACTGCAGACACAAAATGTGTGTAGGCAATTCGTATTTGTCCCCCATGTAGTAATGTTATCGTACGTAACAGGTTCCAGTTAGAAATATGTTGACTGTTGTCACTATCCGACTGATGAATAACTTACCCACTGAAGTACAGTGTTCATTCCTAACGTTGTAAAAAATAAATAATATTACATAGACCAAATAAATAGTTCAATAAAGAAAATCATCTTAATTTGAAAGAATGAAAAAAAACTGAGGTTGTAGGAGGCTGTACCTTCCACGGAAGTTAAAGTAGCGTAAAATAAATGTCCTCCTCAAGCCATTCACAGTATTTTTCATCTTACGTGATCTTAATCGTAGCATTTCTGTATATTTTAACTGTTTGGCTAAACACTCTTGTAATCACCAATTTTTAGAGGGGTGGTGTAAATCTAGCTAGGGTCCATGCAAAAGTACATGACCTATAAGTCCCCATGGTCACTACAGTGGTGGCCAAACTTTGGCTGCTGGTGATCTTAGTCCATTTTTGTATTGAATTGTTACAAAAATTCGCATTTTATTGCTTAATACTAGTTTTAAATGATTATCTGTAATATTCTGCTTCTTTAACATACCTTTGTTGACAGGTTTTATAGTCTCCAAATATGTTTTAATTCAGATAACATTTTAGTCACGAAAATGAATGTATGACCTGTTTTAGTCACGATATAGCTTAAATATTGCCGAGTCACTATAGATTTTAACTCACTCATCCTTTCACTCATGACCATTGCAAATGCGACCGGATGGGGTGCATGTGCAAGCTGTTGCAATGTGTTTTGTTCAGGATGTCTGTCTGGTTCAAATATTGTGGCTTCATGTACACTGTGGTTCCGTTGGGATGCTGATGTTGTATGTGGTCCATGTTGCTGTATTCTTTATCTCCAAAGTAGCACTTCAGGACTTCAGTTCGGATATTCCACAATGTGATTTGACGAAATAAATAGATCCATGAACATATCTATTTAGGAGTTAATGAACATACATGTACTCCAATGACTGTAAACAATTTGACAAAAACAAATGGACAATTCCAAATTGATATGATTCAGCAAAATTTAGATGTTACATAACTTTACAGTAATTACACAGGCGGAAGGGTTATTTTCAACATTTTCTAAGAAGTGGCAACGGGGCGCTCAAGTGGAATCTAACAGACGGAAGTCTTTTGAAATATTAGGCTGGTTTGATGACAGCATTAAGTATACCAAAGGATGTTCGAAAACCAGATTGTTAGATCCTAAAAAAGCTTGAATAATTTCAAGGGGATTACAAATGGATATAACCTAGACATTAACAACCCGACTATATTAGACTTCATTGAGAGATAATGTATTATACGTGAAAAAGGGTTATCTGATCACAACTCACATAACCAGTCATTGTCAACTGACTCCACTTATTGTCAAATCACAGGATTAACCTGAAGCCGGTTGTTGTTAAAGAGAAACATTTCCATCAGTATACTGATCACTGGCTACTGATCGATGAAGAAGTCTTTCTGTCAGTTTCCCTTGTTGCCACAATCGTAAGATTGGATACAATATCATCTGAACAAAACTTTCATTGAAATTACCAAACTGATCAGTATAGACATTTCAGACATTTAGTAGTAATTAGAACTTAAGCTTTGTTTAGTCATCATGTCAATGGCTCCATTATGTTTAGGCGGTGGCAAGGCTAGAAGTGGCATCACACAGAGACATTTAAACTAATGGATGAAATCTTTTGAAACAAAAGGGTTATAGCCTGCTTCAGTATAACCATTCTTCAAGAATAACTATTCCCTTGTCACCACGTCACCTTTAGGGGCTGAAGAAGGTTTACCGACAAGCCACTTAATTTCAAGACATGATTTTTACCATCATAGTGTGGAATAACAGCAACATTGTTCACCATGACTTGTTGTGGCATTTTGCCGACTCCAAAGATTGTGATTCCATCCAGTTGCATTTCCGAACCCACGTCATAGTTGTCAACAAAAACTATACTCTCGAGAATCTTCCCTGCCACAGAGAAAGACACCGAAGAATATTTCTCCTTCTCAACAGAATCTAAAGATTTGCCATCGTCCCAGTACACTTCCCCTTCAGCAGAA